TCCAGGTCCCCTGTTACCACCTTCAATTCACAGAATTACAGGCCTCCACCAGTCCTTAAGTTGCCCTACAAAATGTGTTAGTAAAAAAGTGAGATCTGAATCTGAGATGACCTGTCCTCCACTAAGAGCTTAGTCAGAGGCCTCTAAAACATTTTATGATGCATTTTTATTAAACCCAGAGAGAAAGTGAGGTTAGGAACCTGAATTAACCACCTCACTGCTAAATAAAGAATCTCCAAACTCGAATGAAGACTAATAAGGCTTTAGAAACAGAGCAAGACAATTAAACTACCATTGCATGTTGAACTCTTATTGATTTAATGAGGTAACAATGTTGATTACCTCATCTAAATTTCCCAAAATTGGTTCAGACTGGAACTCTATATCTAATAATTTTATGAATGAATGAAAGCAAATACTGCAAGATATTGTTCATGAAGCGAATTGAAATTCACAATAAATATGCCTACTGCAGTCGAAGCAATTTTTGCATTGTTGTTTCAGTGCAGGTGTTGCTAGTTACAATCAACAATAACAGAACAGTTACAATCACGGAATATTTATGATAATATCCAGGTAAAATTATAACTTCACTTGGTGAGTAGCCCTTATTCTAGATTTATTTCAACACACAAGAACCAAAATCAAATACCTATAACATAACGTACCTATATTAAATAACTTATGAACAGTTTTGTAGCGGCTGCATGCAAGTTCAGCTAAGTCACAAGCCGACTGTGAGAGTTATATTAGCAAAGGTGATGTTAATTATTAAACCAAACAAATTACAAAACATATTACATTTTCCAGTTTTCTCCCTGAACGATGATGTGAGTTACATTCTCAATGCAGCAGCAAATAACCTACAATGGCGATATTTTCACAATCATGAAAGAGAATCAAAACACTGGCTTAGCAAAAAGTTAGCACAATTCTCCTAATATGACATCTAAACAAAAGAGTTACCCAAAATTCAACACAGCACGACGCCAGCTTCACATTGTCTATAGTGGGTAAAGATAAGGAGTGAAGACTTTAAAGACATTTACAATTCAACATAGAATAGAATCACCCAACTGAAGACCAATGCTCACCCACGAGGATCTTATTACTTACTTATTCTTTACATGTTTACATGCAAGTAGTTCTTAAAGGGGTCATATGATGCGATTTCAATTTTTCCTTTCTCTTTGGAGTGTTACAAGCTCTTGGTGCATAAAGAAGATCTGTAAAGTTGCAAAGACTAAAGTCTCAAATCCAAAGAGATATTCTTTATAAAAGTTATGAGTCATCCACACCTACCTAAAACGGCTCGTTCTAACACGCCCCCACATGTCTACGTCACTATGTGGGAAGATTTGCATAACGCCGCCCAAATGTTCACGCAAAGAAAGAAGGCGTAACTTTTATTCTCGCTGTAGTATGGTTGCTGCCGCCACCATGTCCTGAAGACGCTGTGTTTCGTTGTGAAAGCGAAACTACTTTGTTTGGTCTTCCAGAGGAAGGTCTTCCAAAAGAGGACGATATCTGCTTCGTCCAAAATAATGTTCTTTTTAGCAGCATCATATGACCCCTTTAAGTTAATGTATTTGAGATATTATTATCATGTATGCAGGATTTTTCTGCATACAGTCATTTGATTGGGTGGGCCAGTGGTCAATTTGAGTGGGCCAGTGCCACCCTGGCCCTTATGTAGCCTCGCCCACTGGTGTGTACATATCCAAGTAATTGATTCACATTACTCTGAACAGTCAAAATAAACTAGTTCAGCAAGTATCAAAAGTGCCTTAATTAATAGTTTCTTTTCACATATTCATCATCCTGATGTCAGATATCCACAAACATAAAATTGAAAGCCTCATAGCTTTGAAAAGGCCACTTATTTAAAGTCCTGAATGTAGTAATTTGTTGTCAAGAGTTCCAGAGTGGCCCACAGGAGCTTTTCTCTGTGCAATTATCGGATGCAATTATCAAAATTGTGTTTGAGGCAAACAGCTGCATGTCACTGACATAATACAAACAGATCTGAATGTAAAAAGACTTTGGTTCTGCTCAGCTTCTTTTGCTAGAGTAACAGTTTTCCAACAATCCAAAGAAAATGGTGTAATTGGGCTGGAGTGATGAGTGAAAAGCAGGTAACTTTAAATAATACTCAAGACATTTAATTTACAAAGAAAAAAGCTGGGCATTTTTCTTAGATCATGAAATCAAACATTGCAGCTTTTGAATTCCTGTCTCTCATTGCCACCCAATCATCCAATCACAAGTCTATGTTGCATCACTTATTTCACCTTATTTTTTCATGACTATTGAGAACACTCCTGTTGAAAAGACCGGCTGGTCACCAGAATGTATTTTCTGGTCTTCACCAAAGGATGTTGGTATGTTGATGTTCCCACAAGGCTTTAATTAACAAACATCTTTTCCAGCTAAATTTTATTTGCCAAGGAGGTCTATATTATCTAGAAAAAGCTATCCATTAACATTGCCATTCATCGCAGTAGCGATCAACTGGCACATGGGGATGAGACATATAAACGTCTATATTCTCAGTACAAAGAATATGACTAGGCCAGATGGCCATCATGGTAGTGGCCACAGTCCTGCATCTGATTTATTGCAAAGACTGCACAGTGTCGTGTAGTCTGATGCACTGCAAATGTCTTTGGGGAACACCAATGTATTCCGTCACACTGACTACAGCCCACCCAGCACTTTCACAGATAGGATGGTTGTTTATAATGAGGTCTGCTTCTTTACGAATTCCAATTTTCATGCCACTGTTATAGCCGAGCCTTATAACACCTGGTCTTTGATTTAGGCTCCATTATGCTCCATGCTTGATTTCAAGGAAACCCTCAGCTAACCCAGAAAAAAAAAAGAGGCTGCACTGAAAGAAAAATGTCAAGGCAAACCTATAACTGAAAGGCTTGTTGCATTTTCCACCAATATTTGTTTAAACTAACTTCCTGGATTGCCTTAATTGCTGGTAAATTCCTCAGTGTATAACATTACACTGTCAGCGCATCACAGAATTAGTCACAACACAATTAGTGCTGGCAAGCAAGCTAATAATTTTTTATTGGTTCCAGTTTCAACCCCTCATTATTGTTCAGGTTAAAATAGACGGGACATGAACTGAAAGGCTCAGCTCCCCTGACGCTCTAAATGGCCAGTGTTTTGCTAATAACACCGTTAGGGGTACCATTAAAAGTTTCTTATACCTGGCCTTTCTGGGTAAGCCAGTTATTCAATCACATTTATATCTCTGAGCAGATGTGTGATCCCAAATGATAGAGAACACTGCAAACTCTAATGTATATATCTAGAAAACGGTTCATAAAAATGCAAATGCATATTTGCAAATATATGAGTGAATATTTTACCATTTCATGACTTTTCTAAACTGATTAGTGGCAACGGTATTTGTAAGACTATTTGTATGGCTATTAACACAAAGTTGGGAAACAAAATATATAAGCAAATGTGCAATGGATCACCATTTAAAATGGTAAAATAAAATAAATAACTGCCAGCAGCTTTAACCTTCATAATTCTCTCTGGAACCTGTTTCCCAGATTCATTATTGCACTACATCAACTATGATATTTTTATTCTATGCTTAATTCCCAAGTGACTCCTACTAAGAGCAGAGAGTAAGATGATTTGTAGTTCCTACATATGACACATTCCTCATTGCGAGTGCTGACACGCTCACCTTATTCAATCATCATGTCTCTGTTAATGTATACCAGAGTTGTGCACCATTCAGAATTGGATTGAGAATGCCTTTTAAAATTTGTTGGATTAGAATTTTAATTGAGGTAGCAGGCAGGATGCTGAACTTTGTCATGCCACAATTCAAATTTTAATCTAAAGGAAGTAGAATTAACATTAACTGAAATTTGAAAGTTTAAAGTCTTGGAGTTTTTGGTTTTAAGCTAGCTACACAGCTAGATAGATTCCTCTTCCAGTCATAACAATTCATCTTCCTGTGGTATGGCCAATCCAACTCAAATTCTAACTCCTTGTAAGGGAGCCCATTCTGAATTTTGCACAAAACTGATGACCAGAAACCATACAACTTTGTAGTTCTCATCAGGGTTTCTCAACAGATGATCATGCAGAAAATACTAGAGGGCTAATGAATGACTTAATGATCTGTACTTGGCACAGATTGTTCCATAAAAGCACCGCCACCGCAGTTCACTTCCTTTTCACATAAGAACTAAAGTGTAAGTGTCACAGCAAGACATGCCACTGTCAGGAAAAGACCAGGGATCCCTGGACATGCAAATGACAGGGTGTTCGTCAACAAATAACACTGCAGATGCCACCAGCACAAAAGGGAATAAAATCTAAAAGAAAAACTTTTGCCACCAGATGCTTGCTGACTGTCAGTTCTGAGGGTGCCGCAGTTAAACCAGCATGAGCTACAGAGCAAAACACAAAGTTGTTAGAAATAAAATGGTTAAACGGTGCCTGGATTCAATCAGCGGTTGCCACAGAGGACAACCCGAGCGGTTCACAAAACTGTGAGCTTTTCCCATTAGCCTATTGTCATTTTGTAATTAGCCATTTGATATTTCAATGCTTTATTTGTTGAGAGAATGACAGAATTATCCACTGCAATTGTTAACTGGTGCTTTGTGGTCGCACTGTTGAATGAACAAAACCCGGTTGGGAAACACTGCTCTAGACAACACTGCTTATGGGATCTTAGCATCCATTATAGTCACAGATCTTGTACAGATGTTTGGTAGTGACAAACATCTCCAGGGTGTATCAGATGCAAGAACAGAGCATACATTAGCATTCCATAGTACAAGACAACCAGTTTTGAGGGAGATACCAAGCCAGGGGAAAAAACTTGCCATTTGAGCAGATCTGCTGAAGTGAAGGAAAAAAAAGAAAAAAAAAAAAAAAAGCTATGATCTGCAGAAGTGAAGAAGGAAAAAAAATAAAATAAAATAAAAAAAAAAGCTATGATCCAAAGATGGTTTCAGAATTTATTGCAAAACGAGTCAGAGGAAGTGAAAGATAACTTCTCCACTGGAGACAACTGTACGGGTACCGTCTGCTGGTTTCTCAGCATCTCTCCCTGTAAGAGACAGAAGTCAGAAAGGGGCTCAAGTATGCCACAGACTATGAATACAAGTAGCACTCACTCCTCCGGCTGCAACTCTGAACACAAGTTTCTGCTGCAGTTGGGGTACACACTGATGTGCTACAGTGAATGAAAACCTGGTAGAGAACATGTTTTAGACCAAGTAAAGCCAGATACAAAAAAGTTTGAAAATAGAGGGAGAATGAGAAGTACCGTCTCCTTCAATGGAACCAAAGTTGTAGGTTCCACAAACGTGAACATTTTGAGTACGAATCGTTTGTAGTGAGTTGGAAACTGCAGGCCTGAAGACCCATCCACAGGGATCAGTGTGGTCAGGTAACGGTCATCCTGGTAAGGACAACTGCACAACAGCAAATCATTACAAATCTCACCAGCAACGTTACACCAAAAACACCTTTAGTGGTTACCCATTCACAAGAAGATCCCACTGGGGCAGACTCTGAGGGTCAGAGTTTGAGGTTGCCCAGCAGCGACCCAAAGTCAGAACAATGTTGGGGTCAGTCCTCTCTAGAATGTGCACTTCAAAATAGACCGGCTCCCGCAATACTTTCGTCACAGGATACTCGGCATCACCATAGTATGACGAGTAAGCTTGATCTTCTGCACAAGTCAGACAATACATTCAGATATAGCCCAGTTTCAAAGGGACTTGATAAAATGACATTACCTTCCACACATCCCTTAGCAAAGCACTGCCCATTAGCCAGTCTAAGTTGGACTCTCAGAGGTCCAGGAGCAGCCACAGGAGGTGGAGGAGGAACGGTGTTGACTTCAACAACCAATGCCTCAACACTGGTGCCGGAATATCTACACTGGAAGAGGAGCCTGAAAGGGAAGACTCCCAAGTTAGAAGACATGGACCAAGAGTCATGACACCAATTAAAAACACAAATTACTCACTCATAATGGCTGTCCCTCGTGATGGAGCCTAGAGGTCCAACACCTACTTCATAGGTAGAAGTCATTTTGTTTTCATAAACTAGAAAGTCACCATCCATCTGCAAGGAAGTTAAAGTTATGCAGAGTTCATACTGCACGATTTTAGCCCGATTTGTCACTCGCCGACAGGTTTCGCAAAATCGCCTACAAATGCCCAAAATCGGAGGCAAATCGGTGCTAGTTCACGCGAGCGATAATCACGCAGTGTGAATTATCAAAGACGCGATCTGAGGGAGGGGAAAAAAATAAAATAAATTTATTTCGCCGACACCCGCAAAATATTTGGCATGCTACATATCTGGAGCTGTTGGCGATTCACAATCACGCTGTGTGCGCAATGATTTCTGACTGAACTACATCGGCGATGACCTACAGCCAATGAGAGACCAAGATACAGGGCGGTTTTTATTTTTCTCCTTGTAGCTGGAAATCAGCTCAGACAATTTGCGGGACGGACGGACGCACGCACACACACACACGTTGTGTTTCCATGTTTTATGGGGACATTCCATAGGCGTAATGGTTTTTATACTGTACAAACTCCGGTCACCAATCCATCGTGCAATGTGAACACAGCCGCAACTGAATGCTACCCCAGATAGTCACGCAGTGTGAAAACGGCGATCCGACAAGTTCAAAAATCATGCAGTGTGAACTCGGCATTAGTTTAACAAGCAGATACAGTAAGTGCTACATAAAGTGTCAGATACCAACCGTCATTGTGGTGCCACAAGCAGTGACAGGGAACTGGTAGATAGCAAAAGCAACAGTGGTGCCAACAGGACCACAAGGAGGATCACTTCCTCCCAAAAGGCTGATGGACTCCAAGCTCAGCCTTGGAAGGGTTGCATCTCTCATTACCACAACTACAAACTGCCCATCCCTTGTACACTGGACAGTCACTGAAAAAAATAAAATAAATTAAAAATAAATAACACACACACCTACACACACACACCTACACACACACACCTACACACACACACCTACACACCTACACACCTACACACCTACACACACACCTACACACACACACCATGATTTACCAAAACTATATTGGAAAGAGCTCAGATTAAGGAAACCAACACAATCCTCACTTATCACTTCATTTTGAAACATTGCAAATAGGCACTTCTTTTTCCAAAAGGAAAGTTCTATGTTGCTAAAAATGTAGCTCAAGTATGCATAAGGATTTTACCATGTTCCATATGATTGGAGTCTAATTAGATTGCATTTAGGCCCGGTCCACACAAACGCGTTTAAATTTTAAAACAGCAGTTTTTCTACACGGTTTGGCCGTCCACACGCAAACAGCACCAGGTCACTGAAACCGAACATTTTTGAAAATGCCTGCCAGGGTAAAGAGTTTTTGGGCTCCACCTACTGGAAACTTTCAGGCTTCTGATTGGCCAACATGGCTTTACGGTTGAGATTATATAATCACCACCTGTTGGTTTGGCACACTCTTGACAGTGCTTCAAAGCATGCGTTTGCAGTTTCATGTGGATGGAGATTTTTTTTTTAAACAGAAGGAAAAACTCAGCTTATAAAAATACCCGTGTATGTGTGGACTTGGCCTTAGAGATACACCAATGCAATTCTCAAGTCTCAGATGTTACAAGTTACACATACCTGCTTTGCCATAGTAGCACTCTTGTCCATCAAAACAACAGTTTATAGCATCACAGTTTGCATGAGAAATGCCAGGCTCTCCACACTGCACCTTCTCATAGTCATCCACATTACACTTCTGAAAAGGTTTTGCCTGAGGAGCTAGCTGTTTAGCCTCAAAACTCAAAGAAGATTGTTGCCCCAGCCACTGGAAGGCTTGTTGACTTTGTGCCAGTGAATATGCAGCAAACAAACGACTAGTGATACAAAGTACGATAACTCCCAAGAACCACCAAAGCGCTGCCATTGTTCCAACACAACACAATTTAGCACTCTCAAACAGCTATTTTTAAAGGGTGATAATTAGCCATGTTTGAACGTTCTCTCCACCTCAGTATTTACCACCAATTAGCACCCAGCCCTGATCCATCAAGATCTGCAGTGTTCCTGCTGGCCTCACCAGGTTTGAAAAGCTATGTCATGCTATGAAAATTATTGTACTCTTAAATTGTTAATGTGCCAATTCAGTAATTAATAATTAAAGTTCTCATACATATCAAATGACTATTTTATTCAAATGCAAAACATACCCCAAAGTTTAGAAAACATGTTTTCACTCCTTCAAAAAGTGGATTCAGATTTCATGGCTTTTTGATTTGAAACAGATGAGATGGTTATTTGGAAATGCTATTTGACAACATGAGTGTTGGACAAGCTATTTGACAGTGCTACAGAAACTTACATTTTGTTTAATATTAAATTTAGCCTAATAGAGCTCATGAATGAAAGACTGCATGCAATAACAAATGCCAACATATGTAGTGCTAATGGGAAACTTAATGAAACTCTCATTGATTTCTGGTTTCAAGCATGTGGCATTAATGAGTTTTGACTGCCATTAAGTTTAGTATTCAAAGCTTAAAGTTGCAGAAAGCAAGTTTTAGCCCAAGCTAGCCTTTTATATTATAAATATATTTGTATAAACATATTTTACTATTATGTACATACATTTTGAGCCCCTTATAAGTATAATTGACTTATCATACATACCTGCACTTAAATATAAATATGTTAAATATAAATATAAGGTAATTTATGTATGAAATGATGACAGAATTTTTGGGTTGCATGCAGCACCTGAAATCACACAACATAATGAAACTATTATAATAACCGTCACGAATCCGGTCTATGAACTTCCGTTCACTCACCACCAGAGGTCACCCGCTCACTACATTGACTCTCACACTACACAGACTGTTACACATCACCCTGGACTACATTTCCCATGCTCCATTGCACTAATTACAATCTCACCTGAAACCAATCACACACAGCTGCTACCAATAACACACAATATATAAATCAGTCTCACCACCATTCAACGCCGAGCATTGTTTAGCGCATATCACTCACCTAGCGATAGCTACTCTACGGAGCCATTTCTAGTTTTCATAGTTTAGTCTTAGTCTTGCCGGTTTTCTCGTGTTCTGATTCCTGCCTGTGTTTCTCGGATTGCCCTTTTGTCTCGCCGTTCGGACTCTGTTTGCTCCTGCCTGGACTATTGCTCGTGTTATTGGATTGCCCCTCTTGTCAAGCCCTCTGGATAACGTTTGCTGTCGACTGACTCACGCCCGTTTTGAATTACTCTTCGTCTTGCCCTCATATACCTGTTTGCCATTGTCTGAACCTTGCCTGTTTTATGACCACGCCTTTAAATAAAAGCTTTGCAGATGGATCCGCACGTCTCTCGTCTCGTCGGCTCCGTTACAGAATACTCGGCCACACAAGGATCCAGCGGGTTTTCAAGTGGACACTGGCCAGGTATGGACATTGCAAGACTGTTATTAGCCCTCAAACAGCGCTCACGATCGCTCGAGGACTATATTCAAGAGTATCTGAACTTTACTTATTTTTCTGATCTGCCGGACTGTGTACTCATAGACTTCTTTTGTGAGGGCATTAATCAGCCACTCAAATCACGTTTAATCCGTGAAGGTCCCCGCTCATCTCTCAGTCAGTTTATGGACTATGCTTTGTTGACTGTTGGTTCAATGTTCACTGTGGGTGTCATGGAGGAACGCAACCCCACATTCACTCGTGTAATGGCGGCCACACTAGAGCACGCTCACAAAATGGCGGACACAACAGCGCCCCATTATGTCACAGCTGCCAATCCTGAATCAAGTCAAGTGTACGGCTGATTTTCCTGAGTCAACTCAAGTCACCGTTGATCATCATGAGGCATGTCAAGTCACCGTTGATCGTCATGAGGCAAATCAAGTCACCGTTGATCGTCATGAGGCAAGTCAAGTCACCGTTGATCTTCATGAGTCTAGTCAAGTCACGGTTGATCTTCATGAATCAACTCAAGTCACCGTTGATTGTCATGAGGCAAGTCAAGTCACCGTTGATCTTCTTGAGTCAAGTCATGTCACCGCTGATCTTCCTGAGTCAAGTCAAGTCACCGTTGATCTTC